CGTTGAATGATATCGTATGACAGTATCATAAAATATTTGCGAGTCAAAATTCTCGAACGTGTATGATATAAGCTACCTTTCGTTATTGCATAATTTTGTTTATTCTAATGTGCGTTCAGTAAATTTGTTCAGGATAGCGGCCAACTTGTGACTGGATGCACAAACGATCATTGAACAGTCGAACATTCGGATAACTGTAATTTTGTATACGCATTCTATCATGACGATGAAGAATGCGTCATTTAGACGCAAGAATTTGATCTGTTTTTTTGCCTCATTTGTTTATACGTCTATAATAGCCTAACGTACAAGGTATCAAGTCAAAGCTACTTGTTTTTATACATATCTTAACAGAACCGAATGACATTCCATTCGTTTCTATAATTACACAACTTCTTTGCGCTCTGATGATCATAATAAATAGGGCGCTTCCGCACTGGTGTGAATTTAAATGACAGTCCAGATTTCCAGCAGACTAGGAAGAAAATTGATCAAAGCTATACAGCGAATAAGAAATCGCTTAACCAAATTACAGGCTAAGAATGATTTTGTACATCGTAATTCATAAATTCAAAATTCGGCATATTTGTCAATACCGCAGCGAAATTTTGTCTGTATTTGGGTTTATCTTGGTATTTACGTCCTTGCCATTTCCGAAATAGAATGTGTATGCCATACCATATATGGCGAATGTAACAAAATCCTTTGGAATGTTGCCTGCGTATGAAAAGGAGAGTTTTTTCAGGCAACGGGCACATTTAATGCGCCACACCAACGAGGAATACAGCACTCGAAGCCAAGGGTCTCACATTTAGCGTGAAGAAGCAAGAAGCAGAAGTAAGCATTTCAAATTTACTATTTTCTGTTCAATAGTATGATATTAGGAAAACGTATAGCTTCAAACGCTGACCCTTTCGTTCGATATTTATTTTTTTAAGGTAAACAGATTTTGTATTACAATGGCTGAAATCTGTCCAAGTTGCGATCAATCAGTTTTCTCAGCAGAAAAGGCCGCGATTAGTGGAAAGAATGGCGAAGTTTGGCACAAGCAATGCATGAAGTGTAGCACTTGTAAAAAACGGCTAGATAGCGTGACATTTAACGAACATAAAGGTTTGTATGAATAGTTATCCAAATATGACCGCATGATAGTCTGTGCAGGGTGTTTAATGTTTATTATGCTATTTGTCCCTTTCCTGTATGTGTCTAAAGTCCTAATATACAAATACCGATAAGAATTAAATAATTTTTTGCTTCAGTCTTGTCTGTTGAATAACCAGATTTTCAAAAGAGCTGCGCTGCTGTGGCCACGCCTGAACCAAACATTATTATTAGGTGCACAGCTGTTCTGTCATCTGAACTTCAATTGAATGTAATTCAAATATCATTTTAGATATTTATATAAGCTTAGACAATATTTTGCCTGAACTAACTTTGTCCAACGATCGCGAATTTTCCCAATAGGATAAACATTCCTCTTCAGGCTGTTCATAGTGATAATTGTGTATCAAATGACAATGTCAAAACATCTGTTCTAAACAACAGCTAGTCTAATGGTCTGTTCCTTTGATGAAGCTCAGGGACAATTTATCATTGCAAATTGCTAAGGCACTTTTGAAGAATAAACCTTTTCTTTGCTTCGTAGTGAAAATTTTTAGGGCTCGACGCACGAATTGTATATATATTTCAGTCCACAGATGTTAATCGCGAGAAATGAAAAGAGCTTATATGCAACAGTTATCTTGAATGAAAATGCTTTTATGAAATAGTTCACGGTCAATCGAATCAAGATATGCAAAGAATAAATTGAATCATAATTCGCGAAGTCGAAATGTAGAAAACATATAACCAAGGCTTCGAGAAAATAAGATGAACTGCAAGCTGATAAGCTATTAATAGGCGTGCCTTTGAACTAAATGAGATAGTACTAGACAATTGCTCAAAATTCTATGCGTATAATGGAGTATATTTTCGGTTTGTGTCCGCATAAAAGCTTAATTGAAAAAACAATGAGCACATGTTTTGTTTATTGTATGTCACAGACAGAATAACGTTTACTTTGACCGGTGCTTTGTTGGTGATATTTTTTTTGCCATTTCAAGCATTTATGCGTATTGTCATTCATGGCAAATATGAAGATTACATTAGCAATTTCAATTGAACTCGTTAAGTACGCCTTAATATATTTTCATTCAGACGAAGCAGGCATGCATCACGCAGAGCTGGCATCCAACGAGTACACTATAACAACGTTCGTATGCAATGCTTGTCGCTTGTTTTCAAACCCACGCAAACAATAATAATTTAAATGTGAATTCTTTCCATAATATTGCTTGGATCTATCCGGCACTTGTCTTTTGAAATCAAATTTCAAATCATCATAAGTTATAACTTACATGCAGTCATTTTATAACACCTCTTCCCGTTGTCATGGTAGCAGTGACGTTTTCAAAGTTTTTGAGCAAAACACAGCGAATTTGGTAGTGAAAACAATGTTTTTTAGATCTTTGCTTTCGCGGTCTTCCTGTTGTTTTTGAGCGATATATTCCTCAAGATCCCTTGAACGATCTCACGTTTAACGTGCCGATTACGCGACAGAATGTTGTAGAGCTGTTTTATAATATGCGCAATGCCTGCTATATGACCTTAGTTTTTTTTAAATACATTAATTTTGAACCTTCTCGAAGCATCGAAGTGCGCTCTGCATGTTCTTTCCGCAGTCTTATATGCAATGGCAAGGACGAAGACACACAATAGAAGCCATCACACGCCTAACTCGATTTTAAACACATGCACGCTAATATTATTTTTAGAAGAAAATTTGAAGTGAGCGAACAGCAAACAAAAACTCGTGTTCGTCATTGAACAATTAGCTATCTCGAAGTTGAGAAATCTTGATAATGAAAATGAAGCATGAAAAGTGAACTAAGCTGTCGAAAACTTGCAGGGTTTACTTTCAAATGTGATTTAAAGTTTGCCGCTCCCGCGGTTAGCGATTTGTCGTTAACGTCGATCTCAAGGTCTCTATGAGTATAAGTGCAGTGATATATATATTGTTTATCATCAATGTGTCGGCGTGTGTTGCCGTGAGGAAAGCTGTGTGTTACACAAACACCCCACTAAGAGCTTACTGCGATCCTGACATATAATATATATTCCATTATTCTCAGGACAACTCTTCTGCAAGGCTCACTACAGCAAAGAAATCGGGGCTAAAGGTTACGGATTTGGACAAGGCGCAGGAACATTCCACTACACGGAATAAATGGACGTAAATCGTAGTGATATGCATCGAGGTTTATTTTGTATAGATTTTAAGGGAATTATCGAAACTGTCTATGTTCCTTGTCAATTGCTGGAGTATTAATTGCTTTATTGTAACTAATGCTAAAACACAAATAAAACATTTGTTTTTAGAGTAAACACTAGTTCAAAATATTTCTCAAAAAGCCAGTATTGCGCAGTGAGTACATTCTTTATCACTTAGGGCTGCGTTCCACTGTCGCGTTTTTTGTACGTAGCCTACGTATACGCACGTAAAAGTTTAAAATCGTTTAAATGATACTTATGAAATCAACGATTGAATAGATGCATAGGGTTGGAATCTGTTGATGATTTGGTGTGTTTTCCGGCATAGAATTCATTATACAACAACTTACAAGGTTTTAAGCCTTTAAGTGCGTGTACTTACGTGCAAAAAACGCGACAGTGAAAAGCAGCCCTTATGTTAGTTATGCAGCTATACTAATTCTCTATATAATGATGCATGAGAATCTTTGCCCTATATTAGACATGGGCGGTTCTGATTAAAATCAACAGTAGCCTGTCGGAAGTAAACTCTATTTTAGAATTCCTGCTATGCTATTATCCAATTTAGTCAAGAATAGGCGCCGCACTAGTCATGGGTGCGCAGTGCACCTCGCCTATTGCCAAGCCACAGCCCCATGGACATTGGCCATTGTAAAATCTCTGTGCAGCTTAGATTTAGTTTCTGTAATAACATTAATTAAGGCACCAGTTTTAAATACTTAAATGGGCTCAATGCGGTGAAACACATACGTGTATGGCTACCAGCTGTGCAGCACCAACATAAATCCAATCGATTTATAGTTTCGAAGGCAACTAGCTGTCGTTAAGAATTTATGCTGGGTTGACAGTAATCCGAAAAATCTCGTACACGCATTTTTCAAGGTTTTAGGACATTTGGAGTCCTTACCCATAAATCGCCAATTCTGTCGATGTGAAATAGTGCGGGTTTAAATTTGTCTTTGTCTTTGCTTTTGGTGTATTAAAATCGGTCATTATCGACAACACTCATGCAGAATTCTATTACAACAACCAACTCGCCAATATGACTAAATGTATAACTATAAGCAAAGTGCCAAAGTTAATAGAACCGAGTTATCAAAGCACGATTCACACTTGTACAATGGCAATTGAGTTAAAAATATGTCACAGACAATGTTTATAGAATCGCCAAGTGCCCAAGTTCAGGTTACTAGAAATCTTGTCTTTAATTATCTTTGAAGCCCTTTCTCGCGAATCGTGTTTATTAAAATCGGTCATTATCGACAACACTCTTGCACATAGCAAAATTCTATTACATCAACCAACTCGACAATATGACTAAATGCATAACTATAAGCAATAAATCAATAAGGCTGAAATATAAACGTGCACAGTTTCGTGTTTTGATCTGGTCACTGCTTGCCATTTAAATCCCAGTGCAGACGTCACTTTTACAAGGCTTATTTTGAACTCGAATCCTCGTAATAATGAACCTTCAACCTGCCCTATTTTAGTTGTACATAAAGTTCGAATCCACCATTTTTGGTTCTACCAGACAATATATGCACCCAAACAAAAACTTACGCACAGGAAATTTTGGATTGGATTGCCAACTTCGAACCATATATGGTCAAGATATACCTCATAATTAACATACCAAAAATTAATCTCTTGATCAGTTTGACAGTGTCGGGTCTGAGACAAAATTGGGGAATAAATCTTTCATCTGGATATCATTTAGAGACAAATAAGATGGTATGATTATTATCGATTATAAGATATCTACTTTAGGTTTATTTAGATCAAATTAAACTCATCAGAATTCACTCAAACTTCTGTTAATTCGCCTTCGGAATGCATCAAACGGCCAAAACAACCGCAGGACATCAGTTTATATTAATAGATTATAATGTCAGTTAACATGATTGTTGTCCATGTATTTTGTAAACCGAGGATGTTAGTATCCAGGTGGTCGGTTTGCGTGAGTTTTAAGTCTTTTCACTGAAACGTATTTAGCGTATAGTACCAATCAAGGTACCAATAAATAAGAAACTAAATAGACTGTATAATTCTGACATATGTATACATAATATTGTATATTTACATGCACTTGCTTTATGTTGTATCTTTTTAGCCATTTTGTAAACATAATTTGCATGAAATGGTGATAATTACTGTAATGAATTAGAAAAGTTTAAATTGTATAAGACCTGCAATAATTATTTGACATGGTCCTAGAGATGATCATAGAGAGATTTGAGTGTTCTAGAAATTTCATCCATGTCTAGGTGACAAATAGCTGCAGGTGTTGACCTTCATTTTTCACAGTCAGACATTACCTGATCTAATGTGCTGGGGGTTAATGACATAAAAGATTAAGGGAAGTTCAGATTCAATTGGTAGAATCAAACATGATAGAACACTGCACAAACGAGCTTGTCTATTTAAAACAACTCCACTGTACTCACACAATGATGAAGTAAATAGTATAGCATCAAATTTTATTCTTGCATATTGATGTATTTAACTAAGATTCGCCTGTACCATATTATTACCATGAAACTTATGGGATACTGCACCAATTTTCCCATGAAACTGATAACTTTTTGTTTAATAACATGAGTTTGCAGAGTTACACACTTACACCACACCGAGGGCCTTAAAGGAAAAAGGAGAAAGGAAACATAAATATGATACTTAAAGTTACTACTGCAAGTGGCATATAGCTCATTTACTAAAGTTTTCCACATAATGCTCAAAATACAAAAGATTTCCAATTGTTCTTATCTACAAAAAGGTTCAATTTTCACTATACTAAAATTCAGTAAGGCTAAATAATAACATTAATTAATAGTTTTCATCCCACTACACAAAAGTATAATTATGTTAAAAGTATGGTTAAATTAATAACAGGGTGTTCCCAGTTGTGGGTCCAGGGTAAGGCTGAATAAATTACTACAGGTCTATAACTTTTAATACCATTGGTGGATTTTTATTTAAAAAAATTCTTTAGGAATTTAAAATTAAGCCTCAGCCTATTCCTTTGCCGGCACTAAAGTGTATAGGCCACTTGTGAATAAAACCTGAAAAACCTACAACCTCTGTTACTGGTTGTTCAAAACAATTATGTGAATCAATAGTCAATCACTAAAACCTCTTGAAAGATGTGAGCATAGACATTCTCAGGGACAGACAAAAAACAACAATGCAAAACTTTGCAATGTCTTTTGCAACACTTGTGATATAGGCCTGCATGTATTAAACATAATGCTATTTACGAATATTGTGACAGTGCTCTTTATTCACAATCATATGCTGTAAAGGGCCTCTTAGGAGCAGGAAAAATTCTCCCCAATGCCAGAAACAATAAAAGTTCAAGAGAAAGAAGAAGGGGAAAGTGACTATGTTATGAGTGTGGCAATGAAAGGGTTTGTGGGATTTGACATCCCCCAATAATTCACTGAAATTTTAAAACGTTGGTCAAAATGCTTTGTCATTGGTCAAAAATACATTTATATTGCAAGGAACATATATACACCATAATTTATATTACTCCCTTCAGTCCCTTCTGACACTCCTTTGTCTGGTCTGGTTTCGAATAAGACTGGTTTAATTAAAAGTACTTGCCTAGGATGTAGACTATAGTTGCTTACTTTTCTGAAATGAAATAATTTTGAAGATATGTAAATTTTCTTGGAAAATGTTGATTCAAAAAGCCACTTCCCCGTAACCCGAAACTGTGTTTGATGTGGTAAATATTCCATTATTATAATGTCATAAAATTTTAAAACAAACACGCACCTTTACGCCTTTTATAAGTTCTTCAAAAAGCGTCAATTCGCTTTCAACGATTTCCGACTGCAGGATGCATCCTGGAACATCCGCCATGTTTAATGTTTTCTGTGGCTTTTAGTAATTTACAGGGTTGGTACGCTTTCACGCATGTGCAAAGCCAAATGATATTTTAAAAAAAGCCAAATGGTACTAAAAAAAGCCAAATTTCATTTTTTTTAAAAAAGCCAAAAAAGGGCCAAATCTTATCAATATTTTGATGCCGCAATTAATTGAATTTATGTAAAATAGGGGCGGACCTCTGCGAAGTGTAGCTAGAATGTTTGTCATTGGTTAGTTTTCAGCTTTACGATTGGCTGAATTTCCTGAAATCTGATTGGATGACAATAGAAATATGTTATCCTCTGACAAGGATGCACAATTCTTAGATGTTGCTTCATTATTTAACTTTCGTATTTAAATACACTAAAAAATATGGAAAATTCCTGCCACTTGATAAAAAAGCCAAAATAGAGCCAAAAATCCAAACATTTTTTTCAAGGCCAAACAAGAAATAAAAAAGCCAAAATCGAGTTATTTGGCTTCAAAAAAGCCAAGTTACCAACCCTGGTAATTTAGTGCCGCATATCAGGTGTGTATGAAGTGTGGGTGTGGGCGTAGGGTGTGACATCCTTCAAAAGGAAAGAAAAGATTAACAACCAAAAACAAAATTTTAACAACCAAGTAGAGGCGGCGTTAAAAGAGCGAGTCAGCAAAACCTAGGGGCAGAGCACGTTTTGTGCTTATTACGTAACAGCTTCTATCTTAATGATATTCTTGGAAGTTTACATAGTGACATCAATAAGTAAATTAGCTTGTAGGTACACCACGTAAGTATTTAATACTTACGAAACATAATATTCTAAAATCTAAATCTTTTGATGAAATTGACGAAATTGCAAGTGGAATGATTTTCAAGATTCGTCACTTGGGATGTTCAAATGGCTTTCAATAAAACTTCAAACGTAATTCAAACAGGTTTTTTAACCAGACACGTATAAGAATCGAAAGGAATACCGTTAACCCGAGCCTTCATCAGTGCAATATTTGCGTGGTGTACCTACAAGCTAATTTACTTAGATTCTGTCTTGCCCCGAAATGGCTGTTACTGATTTTACGTATTATCGTTACAAGCACTCTGAAATAAAAGCGTTTCTTGTGCTTGTTAAAACATTCCCCTATAGGTTCTAAGGGCTGCAAGAAAAAGAGATAACGCCCAACTGTCGTATACGGGCTACAGCGCAATATATGTGTCTAACCGGGTGCAGCGAGACGAGTGGTTCACTCAACGCGAGAGTAAACGTCGTTTTGAAAGTTGAAACAATCAGCAATTTTGTCCAAACGAAAATTGGGGACTGTTGACCGCACAGTGAAATGGGACTGCCTCACTGGTTTTCTTCATACTAAAATGGTCCATCTTTAGATTTCAACATTTAAAAAAGAGTCCATGGTCATGGAGTATGTGAACTTCGGCTTAAACGGCATTACGGCAATAAGAAATTTAGTCCACAAAACTAGATTGTTACTCGGTAAAATTTTCCCCCTATACTACGATAAAACGTCTGCCTGTGCTGTGTTCTTGATAGGACCGATTGCTCTGACGTAGTATTTCGTACGAGTTCTTCTTCTCCTACTATATGCTTTCTTGTCTTACTGAAAAAATTGCTATACAAGAGTTTATATGGTTCGCCACACAACGAAGCAAATTACTAATTATTAATTATTCCTGTATTGTATGAGAATTTACGTTTTTTGCAAACTTTATGCTACGTTCATCTGTCCACCAAATTCCTATTGTTACATCATGGCTTAAAGCTTTTTATAATATAGCTACTCACTATATATGAGCTATTCCGCAATCTGATTGGTCGAGCTATACCCACCGTATATCAGCTCGTATACGGAGGGTAGCAAAACCAAAGAAAAAGCAAAATGGCTGACAGAATTATTTTTATGTGAATATATATTAAATTGTTAATAAATACTTTTGTCGCTCAACCATTGATATTTGACTATATATTTTATATCGCGGTATAATGGTATAGTAGTTAAATATATAGCATGTGTAACTGACAGCCCAGGCCGCCTGGGCAGGTTGAGCTTTTTATATATAATACTGGCACAGTTCGGGCCCGAACCCCCATCTAGACGAATAAAATGGGAGAAAACGTTTGATTAACCTTCTTAACGCATTGAAGGGATGAGCCCCAGATCTGACTTTCTCTTGGGCAACATCAATAAATAAAGCCTCATTTAAGGTTTGACACGGATGAAATCTATTTACAGTATTTGAAATCTATTTAGTCCAATATATAGCCCCGTTTACACTACACTCGAGTTATTGGCACGGCACGGCTAAAATGGGTACCTGTACCCATTTCATCTGTGCTCGGCCTTTGTTTTGGTCGCCTGAACACTAATAAAATTTTGTACGGGTACCAATTTTAGCCGTGCCGTGACGATAAATTGACTGTAGTGTAAACAGGGCTTATATTTGGCAGCACCATTTTTTTGTACTGTACCAAAAACTGAGTGTAGTGTAAATGAGGCTTAAGACGTTTTGGAAGATAGGTTTGGAAGATAAATTAGGGGGGTGGGGAGCGACTGCCCTGATGATGCATGACCGAGGCCGAAAGTGCGTTTCTCTATAATTTAAACTTCTTTTCATTCTCTGATAGAGTGGTTTTGGTGGTGGAAATCGTTGCAAAGTGTGTGGCAAACCTGTTTATCATGCTGAGCGTGCAGAAGGAAGCAACGAGTTTCACAAAATGTGTCTCAAATGCACATTATGCAATAAGCTCTTAGACAGCACAACTGTTACGATGCACGAGGGTAAGCTGCTATAAAATAGGCTAGCTTGTATATTTAAAAGTTCAAAAGGTCCCATAACGTGTTTTTGATTAAAAAAACCTTAAGGCTCTGTCGCAGGGTGCAAATTTTTTTAAAACTTGCAATGCAATTCTATTTTTGAGAGATGTACTGTATATTTGGCAATTACGAAACCTTTGTATTTATTACACTCATTACGTTGCGTTTAGACTGCGAGCCCGGCACCGGTGCTCAAAGTCAAAACTGGTTCATAAAACATGCTGAGTACAGTGCCCTTTTTATCACTGGAGGTAGTCATGTTTAATATAGGCGCCAGAAAAAGTGACGGGCACCAGTGCTGGGCACTCAGTCTGAACGCAAACTTACCTCTTAAAGACTCTTCACTAATATACGTCTCCTGATAATACAATTGCGTTGCAAGTTGCAAGGAAAATTTGCACTGTGTAAAGGCCCATTTACACTATGCGATTTGTCGTATACGCTTCCCCTACCCAGCGTATTTGAACGTATACGTATGAACAGTGTTCATTGAACGCATGTACATAGGTGAAGCTGTAAATTCCACCCTGAACAATACGAATGAAGATTGTGGCATAGGCACTCTTTTGAATTCGTCAAAACGATAATTGCATACAACTTATCGTGCAGTCCTTTTTATTTTTCATACCAACTTTTGATTTTAATATGCTAAATTTTATAAGCGAACTAATGGAGATATGACCTTTTAAAATGCAGGATGACTCTAAAATATAAGTAAACTTTCTAAAATAACTTTCTAGATTCCATGCTGGAAGACTTTCAATACTATATAACCTCTAATTTTAATTTAAATATGGTAACTTCCACTCAGGTCGTGTAAAACTTCATCAATGGTTGATGGGGAATGTCGTTAAAAGCGGGAAATTTGAAGGCCCAGGTGTGAAAAAATAGCGGACCATGGGCACGAACCGTTTGTTTTAGTTGAAATTGGCAGAAATTTAAGATGAAATGAAATAGGTTGAGAGGAAGAGAAAAGAAGGGAAAATGGGGAAAGAGAAAATGTTACATAGTTAACAATTGCAAGCTCTGCTATAGCTGCCAAATGCTTGAAGAATTTTTTTAACTTTCTTTTCTCCGGTGAAAGAATGTAATTTTTTCACCCCAGTCTTTTCATTATTCCATACTATATATTCAATACGTGACTCGAATCTCACTTACATTGACAGACAAAGCATATTGCAAATCCTGCCATGGTAAGAACTTCGGGCTGCATGGCTATGGATATGGCCAAGGTGCTGGGGTGCTTTCAATGGATTTTGGAAAAAGTGCTCCTGGTTCTACGGCACCAAGCGCGCCAAAGCCGCAAGGAACAAGCGTGTTTGACGGCAAACCCGTCGCAGGTGGTCCGGATGATTGTCCCAGATGTGGAAAGAAAGTTTACGCGGCTGAAAAGAAACTTGCCGCAGGAAGGGTATGTCGTGAAATATTGTATTTAAATTTTGTCGAAAAGGCAAAAAAGGCATTGATTCTGGCATTACGTAAACCCCTACGCGCGTGCCTTTATTGTTATAATTTCGAGAACTTACGTGGACGTCACGCGTGCGACCAGAAGGAATTTAATGTGGTAAAATAGCGCGATGCCTTTTGTGTTGAAATTGAGTATAGAGTAAAGCAAAACGAAGACATTAACGTTATTAAAAGAACAAAAACATACAGAAGTATTTCATTTTGAAGAGTATAGTTGATGAATTATTACATTTATTTACTGAATTTGCTTAAGTATGCTTAGCATGAAAGCGAGGTCATGACGTAATTACATTGTTACTTATTATAACATTGCACTGCCCGCATATTATTGTTTTGTGTGTAATCAAGCAAATTTGGAAAGTGACCATTCCTTAATAAAACCATTTTGAAACCAGGAAAATTTATTACATTAGCTCGAGGGAGCAGTCCAACATTAAGGCGGATTTCCATTTGGTGCAAAGTGCAAAACGTTGTGCGATCGACTTTTTGCAATACATTTCAAAAGAAACGATCGCAAAAAATCGATTGCGCGACATTTTGCACTGAATGAAAATCCTGCTTCAGCGTTGATTGAGTGTTGAAAAACTATCGCCGCGCAAAGTTACAACTTAATTGTTTCATCTTAATACAGCCCGGTACCGAAGAATTTTTTCAGTTCAACATTTAGTTAAATAGGGAACAGACAATTGACTCTATTGATAAATTCTGATCAAAATCGCGGTCCGTAAGGTTGTATTTACTGCTCAGAGCCTCAATGCTATACAGTGGCGTACTGGAGACGATAATTGGGGGGAGGGCACATATTCATATATTCAAGTTGCGCAAGATTAATTTCTTTTCAAATCCATTGTCTTTACAGATCGTTAACATGCATGAGTACATGAATATGTACCCCCCCCCCCCAATTATCGTCTCCCGTGCTACAGTTTTTGCCTTAGAGCTCTATATTCACCATCTTAGGACAAATTCATTAACACTATTTGAAACCTTATCAATGCGGTCTGAGGTTTTACATTTTCGTAGTAATTTTTTTACAACTAGTGGTATACATCCTACGAATTACAATACTATAGAATTTTATTTACTTATATTCAACAATTTTTAAGAACAAAACAAGTTGATGGTCGCGTTTATGTAAATTTCCCCATTCGGAGATCACGAAAGTGTTGCCTGGCTGTTGCATGGTCATAATATGACAGAAATATTTTATTATGCCTTTTAATGATATTAATCTTTCACCGGTTCATTTTTAGTCATTTCATTCTCGTTGCTTGCGGTGTTTCGACTGCGGTAAAGGACTGGACAGTGGTTCACTGAAGAGTCGAGAGTCAGCCATATATTGCCAAGGTAATATTTTGTTTTTTATGAAAATCTCAGGCTGAGCTTTTTAAAATTTATATATATATATAGTTACCCTAATCATCCGGGTTTCCACTAGGGAGTTTTTTCGCGCGAGGCGACTTTTTTCTTTTGTTAATTTGTATTTGAGAAATTTGTTCGATATGTTTTGAAACAAAAGTAAAATGTTGCTTCGCGGTAAGTTATCATTCCTAGTAGAAAACCGGCCTTATTCCTGTCAAGAAAGTGAACAAAAAAGTTTTTCGAAGGCATATTTATATGGTGTACTCATCCGAAAGACACGTTTGATAATTTTTTTTAATTTTGCAAAAATGCAAAAAAGTGTAAATAAACCAATACAGCTAGAAAGAGAATAATGAAACTAAATTGCCCTGTTCGATTGAGAAATGTTATTATATAGGCCTTTTCCAAGTAGGCTTAATTTCTTCATTTTCCTCTCGCAATTCAGAAGATAATCACGGAAAAAATCTCGTTCGATAAAAAATAATTCAGCCTTTAGTTTAGGGACTGCTTACATGATTCAACGAAGATTACCGAGATTTAACGAAGCTTGAGATGATTTTGTCTTTTTGATGCCAAAAAAAGCACATGCTATTGTTGCGATGACTACACGAAAGAATCGTGTTGTATACTCATTTTAACACCTCGAAGTCATCTCACGCTTCGTTGAATTTTGGCTGAGCGGAATTAAAATGATTTTGAGGTATTGAAATGAGTACCGGTATATAACATGATCCCGGTAGCCGTGTAGTCGTTCTATAGTTCTATAAAGACGTATTTTAATGCCTCAGAATCATCTTACTGGCTTCGTTAAACCTGGCGTAATCAGGCTCATGTGAACAGCTCCTTAGGGCCTGTTCATATGAGGTGGGCCAGCCCGATTTAGCCGGGCTAGCTCGGCAGTGCTGGAATTTCGCCCTAAACCGGGCTGGCCCGTCTCATATGAAAATATGAATTTTCGTCGCGTTGTATGTAATTCGAACAATAGACAGTGAGATAATAAGCTCAATGAGGTTGTTATCTCGTTATATCTATTGTTTAAATTGTATTGGACGCGATCATAAACGTATAAACTAGGGCTGAGAAGATAATTAACTAGCATTTGCTTGTTCGTTACGGAGTTCATAAAATATTTTAGGAGACTCCTTGAAAAGCTCCGAACTTCCTGTTCAGTTTTCTCGGCTGAGCGGGCTCATGTAAACAGTCCCTATAGGAAATGCATGTTGCTTGTTGATAATATGGAATCTTAATATGGAATAAAGAAATTTAAAGTGATTTTTAAATTTCTCAGGAATAATTTTTTTTTACCGTTAAGGATGTTATGGTAAGCAATTTGGTCCGAAAGGCTATGGCTTTGGTGGAGGAGCTGGAACACTCACGCACACGCAATGAAATTGGTCTACGCTGTGTCATCCTTTTGACTTGAATTTAATAAATTTCTAGGTTACTAATTAAAAATTGAGAATGGTCTAAATCAACTGAACCCCCATTTATATTTGCATTCATAATGTATACCTATAATAAACGATTACAAAAATATTGTCATAGTATGGATTACTTAGAAATTTGTATTGGTCGTAACAAGGTTAGTTCGTTTTGAAATAATAGCAAATTTGTTTACATTTTCCAGGCTAAGCCAATCAGAATATTTAAATTTTTGTACTTCAATCATATTGTACCTTTTTACCGGAAATAGTTAATAATGATGCATTCTCAAAATTTTTTTGGTTTTTCCAATGCCCATAAGAAAACAGTTTTTTGTAAAAAATGTTTTTGGACAAAATTTTGGGCCAATATTGTGCAACAATTCAGTCAAAGATAAAGGGAGATTGTATAGTTTTTTATAGATTTTTAAAAAGAAAATTAATTTGTTTTTATAGTTTAAAGGTTTGTTCACACCAGGGCTCATCCACAACTTATTTTTTAGAACTGCCTATTTTATGTTTTAGAACTGCCTATATTCCAACAGAACTGCACCTATATTCGATAATTACGTCACAGCATTATCGTTTTTAATTTAGAACCACCTTAACTGAGAGGGATTTCAAGTTTTACTCTCATAAGCTACGTGGAAAGATGCAAAACATCCTTCTTCAACACATGCATGAAAAATAATTTTTAACTTTGAGAAACAAGTTTGAAAATAAGCCATAACACAAGAACGAGGCTGCCGGTCGTGGCCTGGTAGCCTCGTTTTAGTGTTACGACTTATTTCTACACTTATTGGTCAAAATTAAAAATTATTTTTCATGCTATGCTTTCCACATAGCTTGTAAGAGTAAAACTTGAAATCCCTCTTTGTTAAGGTGGTTCTAAATTAAAAACGATGACGTTGTGGCGTAATTATCGAATGGGTTTATTAGAACTGTCTTTAAGATGACCATTGGTTGGTTCATACGATCCAATTTTGTCGGACCCAATTAACTTCTGGCGTATAGAAATAATAGAATGTACTCTGTTACTGATAAGACTAAAAGCAAGAATATGCAAAAATATCAAAAAATCAGTCAGAAGGCGGAGCAGTAGACTTTCTATCATGACGATCCCCAGATCAGTCAGCATCTGAGAAGTTTGCCTTGTGTTGACATAATAAGGCCTCTCACAGTTCTTGGCTTATCTCCATCTGTTTTTGCAGCAGTTGCCCACTCACCACAATAGGGTGGTAGCCGTCGATAGTTTCTGGTCTCCTTGGAACTTGAGCCTCAGGGGTCAATTGTTAAATAGCAGGTTAAATTTAACCCAGAGTTAGTGTTAAACCTGGGTTAAAACTGTGTTGTTCAATGCAGAATTAGTGGTTAGTTAACCCAGGGTTAAAATTTTTAAAATAGGATTAAATGTATTTTGAGGATTAAAAAAAACGCTTTCGTTTGGTCAATAAATGAGCGTAAAAAAACCGAGCCTCGAAAAAAACTCGTTGCAAAAACGCTAAATCACGTTACAGAATTTGCAGATCGCGCGAACAAAATAGCTTAGTGGAAACGGGCCGTTATGTTACACTATGCAATTTTCCTTGCAACATGCAATGCAATTATAATTTTAAGGGATGTTAATTTGTAAAGAGCGTTTAAAATGCTAAGAAAACGCACAGTTAATAGAATATACATTGTTTGGAGACTAAATAAAAGTACAATACAACTCATTATCTATGTTATTATCCAGGTTTATGCAAAAAATGGTTCCTTTCTCCTCACGTGTCTATTGTATTTTAGCCAAATTTACCAGTGGCATTCGTCTTGCTAAGCTCATCAACCTTGACTTCAAAAATATGTTAATTATAAAATTGCTATTGGTTTATCCGTGCAAAATACAATAGACATGTGATGAGAAAGGAACAATTTTTTGCATAAATCTACCTTAACGTAGTTAATGAGTTGTATTGTAGTTTTATGTGGTCTCCAAACCATGTATATTCTATTAAACTATTTTGAACTTTTTCCACAATTTTGTTCAAAATCAATAACAGCGGTCAATAATTTCGAGATACTTCATGCTATTTCTTTGTTTACAACCCCGCGCAAGCTCCACGCAAGTTAACTACGTCATTAATTAATCATCCGACAAACTAGGTTTCGTGCAACGCAGTTAATTCGTGTAGTTAACTAATCATAGTTAAGGATTTAACTACAGTGATTAGTGCTAATCATAGTTAAAGTTAACGACGTTTTTATACAACCGGGCCCAGGTTGCAAGGAAAGTTGCATAGTGTAACACCGGCTTTAAGGCCCACACAGACATAACGTGATTTGGAAACGCGGGGCGATAATTAAATTAATTCTAATGCTCTTGTAGATCACCAGTGATAATGCATTTTGACTGCTTTGGCCTTCATAGATTCCAAATTTTGCGACCAGATTTAATTCATGTTTCTGAAAATTGAAAATTCACGTCCGGTGTGTGTCGGGCTTTGCTGATGTCTTGGTCCACAGTAAAATATTTGATTTACTCTAAGATTCTTATTTAAATTTATCCCCCAAGGGATTATTTTGCCAGATGTCTTTTGTTGCCTGGACATTTGTTTAGAAAGTTAGCAAGGGCTTTGTAAGTGCTCGAGTTAGCCGAAGCATGGATGTTTTTCAGTAACTATATGTTACTATGTTTCAATAACTAGGTTACCTATGTTTTTCTTATTTCCAAAATGAAAGACTTCTATTCCACAAAATCTTCTTCCAATCAAGATCCGACTACTGCTGTACCATTTAGAGAAAATCATCACACATCTGTAGAATACAGAAACTGCAAAAACTTATCCTTAGGTTAATTTACGACCAATCTAAAATATCTCCATCGAGACCTCTTTTTATCCAGTCTAAAATCTTACCTATCAAATATCGAGTTATGTTTAAAACAGCAATCTTCGTTCATAAAGCTTTAAATAACCTTACTCCGGCATATCTTACTGATGTTTACACCATTAACAGCCAGTAGCGTAGCCAACCTGACGATTTTGTCCCGATATGTAAATTTCGATTTATATTATAATTACTAGGAGTTACTATCGCAAGTGAAATGCTGCCTGGGAGAAAGATTTTGTGCGCATACCTGCTCAACAGTTGTATTTGCGCGTTACGAGATAGGATGTAAGCTTATCATTCTGCCAAAAAACGTATGCTAGTCAATAGTGTTTAAATTTAATTTGTTTTTGAATATAAAATCAAATTGCGATTGCTATAATATAAACAGAAGCGCCGAATCGAAGATAGGAACGGTATTGAACTGATGGCTATGGCACATAATTATAGTCATAAAGTGGATTCATCCATTCTTTATAAAATTCTTCACAGTTACACGTTTTTCTATTTGAAGATTATTTAACAAAGAATTATTATTTTATATAAATAAATAAAGAGAAGACAATCACATAACATCACATCACATTACATCACATTAGTTAACATAATTGATTATCACATACATGACATAAAGAAAAGAAGAATTCCATGTACATGGTGACACTGTATGTATGCATTTTGTCAAAAAAATTTATCTCAGGTTAAGTTTATATTATCACATTTTGTATACTACTGAGATTATACCATAGTTCAATTGGATTAATTGATAAGTTGTTCGTTATTCCTCTTTCAGAAAGCTACAATTATCGCATTCCACGTATGAAAATATCTTAAGTAATAACATGTTTTGGAAGTAGAACACTGTCAATATTACATCAATACATGACGTTATTCGAAACTGCCAGATCCATGAGACTGAATGTTAATTTGGTTCATGTGTCCACTGGTAGCACACGACCGACAGGTAACAATATACCATACACGTTTCTTCACTATAACTGTATTTTTCTTGAGCAAAATAATGTCTCATCACTTGCCTCGATGAATCATTTTCAAAAAATGAGTGCACATAACAGTATTGCAGGTTCATTTTGTTTTCATTATTGATTGTAATGCAATTGTCTGATTTTGGCAAAAATCAGAGTCCAGTGGCAGTAATGTCATCAGTTTCTGATCAGTTAATTCCTTTGTATATTTATCCAGAAAAAGGGAATCTACAAAACAAAAGAGCGTAACCTTAAGAATACAATTAGCCTAAAATATGTCGTAAAAGGGGAGTGAGTACGAAAACAGAAAAAACTTACCAAATTAATGTGCTGATGATAATATTTTCACACATACAGTGACAATAACATAGAGAAACATACAATAACATAGAGAAACATACAAAAAACATTAAGGAATAAAGATAGTAATTTATACAGAATAAAGGTTATGGGATCTACATCACAATCCCATGTCTAATTTCAAACCTATAATATGGTTTGTCAATTTAAAAGGCACTGCTGTTGGTAGTCTGTGCTAAACGATCTAGGCGGTTTTCTTCCTCAAACCTGTATTGTAAATTAGCTGATGATTTCAAGCTTGTTAATCGCTCATATGTCATGGGTTCAATGACGCAAGATGAAGGAGACTTCACTCTGCTTATGGCCACGTATGAAATTCCAATATCTATCCAAGCCTTTGGAAGAGTTAATCCTTGGTTCTTGTGTATTGTTAGAGCCCAGGCGAGTCTCAGAGGCAGCTGTTGCCGTTCCTGAGAACCTGTTTCTGACTGTGATGAAACTGTGATTGGACAAATTAAATGCAAGATGGTTTATCCACATTAAAAAAAGGACCTCTATAGTTCTCAAACTCAATAATGACTGCAATAGGTAGGTCAGGTGGTTGATGGTTGTTCTGATAGACAATATCAACAACTGTTCCAGTAGCTCCATTACAGAGGCCAACACTTGACCACAAATTCATGGTTAACATGACCCTAGCACCCTTTGCTAGAAATACTACAGGCTCCAACCCAGACATATCATCTGAGGACATTTTTTTGGCCAATGCAGAAGAATGGCGAGCATTAATATGAGCAATTGGATGCTCAAGTTTTGTTAGTTGTTCATTATTGTAATTTGCAACTTGTTCATTACTATAGAAGAGTCTAGTAGCATCTTCAAAGTCGCATAAATTAGTGACACTTGATGGTTGACGTGTCAGAAGTAATTTCCAGTCATCGGCTGTTGGCTCCCCTTTGCGAAGTCGTAACAATAAATCTCTGAACTGTATTTGTTCAGATGTCATACCTTGCACACGTTGATTTACAGTGAGCTTAACAACTTTGTCAAACATAT